AGAAAGAAAGAAAGAAAGAAAGAGAGAGAGAGATGACTGAACATGATGGCACACCCCGGTAATCCCAGCACTCAGGAGGCTGAGATGGAATGGTCATTGCAAGTTCAAGACCAGCCTGGGCTACAAAGTAAGCTCCGGGCCAGCCTGAACTGCAGAGCAAGACATTGTGTCTCTAAAAGACAAAAAAAAAGATGTGGACAAGTAGGTAACTGGTAAGGAGAGAGCACAGATGATTTCAGAGATTAGGCAAAAGAGCCAAAAATTAAACCAAGCAAATCCTTGATGGCATAGCTGAATGCACTAGGAAGCTGTTAAAGAGGTTCAAGCCAGGAATGAAATGGTGTCATTGCCTATTTAAGAGGTAACTTTGCTGTGGGGGATGAGACCGGTACAGGTAGAAGCAGGAGGACAGGCCAGACATAGTGGTACACACCTGTAATCCCAGCACTCAGGAAGCTGAGGTGGAAGGATTGGTGCAAGTATGAGTGAGGCCGGCCTTGGCTACATATTGAGCTCAAGGCAAGCCTGAACTGCATAGTGAAACCCCGTTTAAAGCAAAACAGAACAAAAAGTGTGAGGACATACTTGAAATAGGAAGACGAGTTAGAGGCCTATTCAAAAAATCCAGCTAGAAATCCTGGGACTTGACATAGGCTGATGGAAATGGGGACAGGAATGATAGAACTCGCAGGTGGGGTGGGGAAAGGGAGGAAAGGAGGCAGCTCCTGAAGTTTTCATTTATTTGGTGGAGTCAGGCAAGGGACTGATGGTCACCTTACAGTGAGAGGCTAGAGAGGATGATGGGGAAGGACAGAGGGGGCAGCTCCAATCTGAGGTGGCTGTGGGTGTGGAGATGGGGCTGTGGGAGTGCTTGGTACTCCAGGGACAATGTGGAGCATGGGGAGGAGTGAGACTAGAGTGCCACACCTGAGGTCACTGGCACAGAGAAGGCTTCTGAAGCCCTGACACAGAGGAGAGAATGCAGATGAAAGGAAGAACGCGCCCAGCGCTGAGCAAACCTCAGCCCTGTTTCCTGCAGGCCGGGCCTTGAGAGGCGGAAGAGAATTTCCAACACAGAGCGGGCAGGAAGTGGCTCCAGAGAACAAAGGTCTACTGAGGAATTGCCAAGTGAAAGTGCTGTGCACTTCAGGTCATGGGGGATCTTGTCAAAGTGTCTTCTCTTCCTTCTATACATTCCCCAGTACAGTAACATCTTATCAGCAAGCTCCTAAGCAAGACCTTGTTTCTCATCATCAGCAAAGGGCTAGTAAGTTTTTAAAGGCTTTTACTCTGGAGGACAGTAAATAAATCAGAAATCAAAATGCCCTAAATTGACATGTAAATCCACATATATGTTCATCTATGTGTCATGATGGGTAAAAATTAGTGCTCTTTATTAGCCAGTGTGAAAGACCCTTCTTGGCAAGCTTATCTCTAGTTCAGTCACAGAAATCTATTTTTTATGACAAAAAGCCTGATTCACTGAAGTTGTTTAAAAGGCCAGCTGAATTTTTTTTATTTTATTTTATTTTATTTTATTTGCGGCACCGGGGAGTGAACTCAGGACCCTGCACTTGCCAGCTATCTCCCCAGCTGAATTTTTTTCTTTTCTTTCTTTCTTTTTTTTTTTTTATTTAGGACAGGGTGTACAAGGTATACAGGGTCTCACTGTATAGCTCAGACTCGTAGTGATCCTTCTGTTTACAACCTCCCAAGTGCTGGGATCACAGGCACACACCACCACACCCAGTCTCAATCACTGTCTCAGCGTGCCCCGAAGCAGGACTGGCATGGCAGGCCTGGGGATCAAACTCCTGGCCCCTGTGTCTGCATAAGCAGGTGCTTTACTCTGCTGAACTATTTGGCTGGCCTGTCCTCAGCTGAATTTTGATTCAACTAGATTGACTCAAAGTTCTATTTTCAAATGAAAATGTTTCATATTGCTCCAATAATGAAAATCAAACTGATCAATAAGATCAAAACATACGTCATGGGTGATGGTAGCTTTACTCACACAGAAATCTGAGCAATGAAAGATGGGGACAGTACTATGTGCATCTCTTGCAGGACAATGTATGCAGTGAATAAATGAACTGCCACGATTCTGTGTCCATAGTGGTATCTGCGCTTTAACAGGTTCAGGCCAGGAATAACACGGTGTCATTGCTTATTTAAAAGATGACTTTGCTATCAGAGGTTGGGCCAGACAGAAGGTAGAAAAGGCTGTGGGAAGACAATTGGAAGAGACAAATAGAAAGCTGTGAGAAAAATCCAGCAAGAAATTATAGGGTTTGAATTAGCTTGTCCAATCATCCTCAGCTACTCTGTATTTAGCCTTCAGTGATTGATAGAAGACTCTTCCTTGTACTGTTGTCACTTACCTCATCAAGTCTGATGTCTCCCTGAAAAAGATCCAGTTTCAAATCTAAGAGCAGTGCAAAGACAAAAATTCATATCAGTACACTGGATTTAAATTCTCTGCATAACAGATGATATTTAGAAAAATTCTACAAACCTTCATTGATATCAAATATATCCTGATCAATTCCACCGTCTATATCTTTGACTAAAATAACAAAGAAAAACACATGAATATTACATTTAGGAAAAGAGAAAAATATATTAATTATATAATCATAAGTAAATGAGTTTCTTTCACTTGTCTTGATTCTGATTCAGCATAGTTGATTGATTGAGAACCTTCCACAGACCAGGCTAAAGATTAAAGAAGGCCTCATACATGTGAACTCTGTCCTATGCACAGTACTTGAGTGTCACATAACTTCAAAAATATGAAACTGGTCACTTTGTGTATTATTAAACTTAACTGGGAAGACCAGATTATACGAAGTGATAAAATGGAAAACAAATGTTAAAAATTAGCCAAATCAGCCCTATCTACTTACATGTATAAAACCCCTGCTGATAATATACCTTGGAACTCTTCAGCATAATTCTTAAGCAAAAATTGAATTTCTCTATTAAATTGCAAAAGTGGATACTTAACATGGCCAAAGCCCTAAATGTGTAACTGAAGAGGAGCAGGCTGTGTTATCATCTGACTTCACACAAAATAGCCAAAACAATAATAGCAAGCAAGCCTTTATGGAATGTCTATGTGACTGTCATTGCATTTGGCCTTCCTTATGTGACCATCTAGTTTTCTTCTGAGCGTGTGGACCCCAGAACACGGACAATGAAATGTTTTCTGATAAATCAGACGAGACAGCGTTAGGCCAAACTCAGTGTTTATACATTAGTGCTGCGTAGGCAACTGTGTGTTACGCTTCGTGTTCAAGATATTCCACATCATACTATTCTTTCCTTAGCCATGGGACCTTCTTTTATAGTTACTCTAGAACAAAACTCAAGATAGACTCACCAAAATTTTCTGGAGTGGGCTGGAAAACAAACGTGTAAAAAAGATGTTATTATGATGCCACAACAGAATTGCTTTCTTAGTTCCAGTTTATAACTATATTGTGATTTGTTCATCACTATTATGCATTAATTTCTGGTCTATGTCCAAGACAACACTGTGAGAGCCTAAGACGATGCTTTCACATCACCTTGCTTCATATAGAAACTAAAACTGCCTGTTAAATAAAGTTCAAGGTAAAAGAAGCAAGGGCCAGGGAGAGAGCTCAGTGGCACAGTGCCTGCCTGGCAAGTGCAAGGTCCTGATTTCAATACCCAGTACCAAAAAAAAAAAAGATAAAAGAAATGAGAAACCAACTTTAAAAATTGAAAAGAATGTAGAATACCATAAGGAATGTGATCACCATGCATTAGACTATTAGAAATTTCTTTTGCTTTATTTGACTTTATTTTGTTTTGTTTTTGTAGAACCAGGGATTGAACTGAGGCCCTTGCACTTGCCAGGGAAGCGCTTATTCCACTGAGCCATCTCCCTGGCCCCACCATGCATTAGAAATATGCACTAATAACAAAATAAACAGTAAGGAAAGAAGGAAGAACATAAGACTCTAATCCTTAAATTAATGTCTACTTTAAACATGATCTTCTAAAGACTTATGGAACAATGTCAGAAAAGTGTGTTCCCAATGTTGAAATATTGTAATTTATAAAATTGCTTTTCAATGAAAGTATATTCAAGACCTTCTAAACATGTTTTATTCTCATGACTGTCCAAATGTTCTACCTTCAAAGACAATAGCAAATATCTAAGGAAAAAATAATGGTATATTATACACTTCTAAAGTATGATTTTCTGATCACAGATATCTACAAGTTGACCAATGAAGTCCACACTAAATGCCTGGTGGAGAAAAAAAAAAAACTGAGACAAACTGAGAAATTTCTTAGTCAGTGTAATGCAGTAAAAATAAAAAAAGGTGATAGAACTGGTAGCAGATGTGGGTTACTTTACTGGTGCCACCAACTAACAGTAATTTAGTCCATCTTCTTGGTACTTAGACTATATAAAATATGATCAATACCTACTTTCCATGAATGTAATGAGAGTTATATGATACACTGTAAAATATAATAGCGATACAAGTACAAAGTACAATTATATTCAAATACAGCCTATAAGCCTAAAGACAAAATCATCTGGGGCATTTAGCAAAATGTGCCAATGAGCTAGTTAGGTGCCTAACACTATTTTCAGCACTAACTAGGGCCTCGGTTGTTCCCTACTACAACCACACACAAGCATATACTCAGAAGAACACCATATAATTACCAAGTAGTTGTTCTTAATTATAGTTTTATATACATTGAAAGATCTCTCTTGGGCTGGGGAGATAGCTCAGTAGAATAAGCGCTTCCCTGGCAAGTGCAAGGGTCTGAATTCAATCCCTGGTTCCGCAAAAAAAAAAAAAAAAAACTCTCTTATTTGCAGCACCCTCACTTTTATTCACAGACTATCAGTTCAATATAATAACTGTATTTGAAATCAAAACTAAAGGTTTTCTCCCCCAGTCATTGGAAACTTCACTTAAAACACTGCATTGCTTTGTGTTAGGAGCTACCTATCATTGTAGGAAGGTTAGTGTAAATTGATGAAGACACAGGAAAGAACTCCCACGCTTTCAAACTTCGTAGTTATTGACTATGCCTCTGTTATTTGTTAGACTTTCCATTCATGTCTCAAGTTATCCTGGTAGCAACCTGTGTTTCATTTGGCACTAAAAATAGAATGATTTTAAAAATCTTCACTTTGCATTTTATCAAAAGAAAACCTGTTATACCACAAAGAAACTGAAAGACCTGTGCCAGTGTCTCTCATGGTCTCTCTGGTGGAGTTGCTTCTTACTCCCCTACATCCTCCTAGCAAACCCTACTGCAAAAAAGGAAACACTTGAGATTAACAGTTTGAAACACACTTTTAAAAACATAAACAAACAACAAACAACTGTGCATTACTTACTGATGTCACCTGCTCCCAAAATTTCTGTTTTCTACACATAATTTCCTTACCAGGGCAGAAGCCGTGAGAAGAAGGGCACCAAGGAAGAGAGACCAAGGCAGAGACCGC